AAGTCAGAATGAAGGATCCCCATCGAGTAAAAGCAAAAGGGCATGCGAGAAGAGTGAAAGGACAAAAAGAGAAGGCAGCAGAAGGACATAAACGACGGTGCAGTGAATGTAGGAAGACTGATCATGATAGACGGTGCAGTAAGTGAATATGTAATTGTCTGGGTTTGAATTTTATACAAGAAATGTTGTTGACTTGTTTCTTTGTTTCGATGTTGCAGCTCTTCATCTTCCGACGCAGAAGTTGGTGCTGCAGTTGATGAGAATTCGCAGCCCAGTCAAAGCACGCAGGACAGGGAACCTACTATGACATAGTCATTTCTGCAAGAGTTTGATTTCATTTACGGTCCCGGAGTTTGAATATTTGTTGATACCAATTTGCGTCTTTTTAGAAACCATCTGGAACCGTTAGTGAATCTTATGTAAGTGCCTCATGTTGATACTGAACTAAGGTATGTGAACAGCAACAGTGAAACCGCCCAAAAACAAAGTAACTTTTGTATTCGATAATTATTAAGTGTCATACACGTATCGCATGACTTACATTTGGACATAGAAAAATAAAATAAAATAAAGTACATTAAAGTCAACAATAAGTTATTTGAAGAGCCACTTAGTTATCAGCATCAGAGTCATCACTTGACTCAAAGCGGCCACGTTCCTCCCAATGTAGAATGCGTTTGTCATTGTAGCAATCCTCGCACCACTCTGGGGGTAATGCAAACAATGAGAGATGGGGGCTTTGGGGGAGAAGGGGTCGGGGACCGATAGTATTGAACATTGTCTAAACCTACCTCGAATAGATCCCTGCACGTCCCACAAGGATGGTCGTGAACGTCACCATGCTTGCAATAATTATGCACAACTCGAACTTTCGGATCCATCTTTGGTTGAAGGTGGATGTCCATCATGAGGCTTTGGTGTTTTCAGAATGTGGAGCCAGTGTTTGAAAGGATTCGTTTGGGATTCATGCAATGTGGGTTTTATACACCTTTGCACTGGTTGCAAGGACCCAATGAAATATGTAGGTAAGGGAATCTTGAAACCATCACTGTGTGTCAGCAAGGGAATCTTGAAACCATCACTATGTGCCAGTAATGTGTCAAAGAACCGAATATCTGTGTCAAATAATTTTGAAAAAATTTATCGACCCACCGATAATTTTTGAAACCAAAAATTTGAGCTCTATTAGTAACTGAACTCTACTAATCCAAAAGTTAGTGATCGAAGAAATAAGATTGAACTCTGGTAAGAACATAGAACCCAAGGCTGTGATAGCAGATTTAAACCCGAATAAGCTGCACGTAAGTCAGATCGGGCATAAACATGTAAACACAAACTCAGATCTGGCATTAACAAAAAACAAACAAGTGAATAACGATTGCCTAGCGATTGATATGGCTACCAGCCGTCATTATCGTTTTCTTTTGCTGGTTGGTGGCCTAGCTCTGGTGGGTGTACACCGCCGGAGATGATTTGCTGTGCAGCAGACGGAGTTATGGCGTCCCAGTCAATATGTTTGTGGACATCTGCAGCGAACCGTCGGAATTGCTCAAAACCTTCGTTGAAAGCCACAGACATTGCCTGCCCATGCTTGTCGCCTCCTTTGTGGATGCTCAAAGATTCGTACGTAGCAT